GGACACCCTTCAGGGCAAACCAGCCGGCCCCCACCCATGCACCAGGCCTCTATCCTATATAATAAAAGGGTAATATGCAAACTGACCCTAATAGCAGTACTGGGAATGACTGGTCACTATGACACACACTGACCACCAGGGGGCAGATGCTCAATGCAGGAGCTGCCCCATGGTGGTCAGTGCGCTCCCACAGGGGGAGCTCTGCTCAGCCACAAGCCAGGCTGATGGCTGCCAGTACAGCAGTCGTGGTGGGAGCCTCTCCCGCCTCCTCAGCAACACCAAGGATGTCCGACTGCAGCTTAGGCCTGCTCCCCGCTGGCAAGTTGTCATCTCCTGTGGGCTGCCGGGCTGCCAGAGGGATGTCTGACTGCCAGCTTGGGCCCGATCCCCCAGGGAGCGGGCCTAAGCCAGCAGGTGGACATCCTCCGAGGGGTCCCAGACTGCAAGAGGGCATAGGCTGGGCTGAGGGACCCCCCCGAGTACACAAATTTTTGTACACCGGGCCTCTAGTCTATATATAGAAAAGTCTAATATGCAAAGTGTCCCCTCAGGAGTTCGACCAACCGGGAGTTCGATCGCTTGCTACGACATGCACTGAACACCACGGGGCAGCACGGAAGGAAGGAAGGCCCCGGCCAGCAGCTCACAGCTGGAGAAGGGAGTCCCCAGCCGGCAGCCCACAGCCGAGGAAGGAGGCCCCAGCCAGTGGCCGGCAGCAGCTAGAGACCCTACCCGTGCCTATACCTGTGCATGAATGTCATGCACTGGGCCTCTAGCTTATATAGTAAATGCCTTAGAAGATACAGTGTCTACATACACACAGCAAAGGTAAGGAAGGCTTATTGCCCATTATAAAATATCTGGTCCCCTAAGCTGAGAGTTCCTTTGTTTTAATACACCTAATTCAGAGGGCAGGCATCAACTGCTCTCTTTGTAGAAAGAGAAAACTATGAAAACTGGGGCTGGTTATCTGGCACCAATGCTGACAATCTGGCTAATGCTGCTGCCATGAATTATGACATCCTTTTTGTAATCCAAGACTCTCGTGTCCTTTAATAGTGTCCATGATACAGTGGCAGGCTAACTGGTTAGCTTGCATGAAGAGTGAAATCTCAAACCCTTCACAAGGTTTGATAATTTTGGCAATGACAATGGAATCTGACGGAGAAAAATCGTTATAGAAATAGAATGAGAGGCTAGTTAATAGGAATTGAGAGAAGTCCATGGGAATTGTGAGTCAACATGGTGACCAAATTTGTATGGTCAACCAAGCAATGAATGGTCTTCTACTTCACTGCCTGTTAATGAGGCTGGATTGAGGAGGCAGTTTCAGGCTAAGGACCAGTAAGTAGTAGGTTCAAAGAGAGTAGCCCCACTTACTTCAACCCTCTACCAAGTTGACAATCAGCCTCAGCAGGTCTGCCCTGTGAACAACTAGTACTAAGATTTGTCTGTTGGAGAGAGGGGGAAACACATAAGGTTCTATCCCCCATAGAGAAAGGTATCTACTGTATTTTTCCATGTATAACATGCCCCCATGTATAAGACGCCCTCCACTTTTCCAACCCAAAATTAAGAAATCAATATTTTGCTGGTTTCCCTCTTAAGGCCTTCTTCTTTTTTGGCTTCTCAAGGAGTTGTTCTTCCTGATTTCTCCACTGTCTGATCATACACTCAGTGGGAGGAGGTCCAAACTGTCTCTCTGCAGCTCTATTTCCATGTTCTTTTGCATAGCTGATTACATTCATTTTGAATTTTGCAGAGTAATAAAATTAAGAAATCAATATTTTGCTGGTTTCCCTCTTAAGGCCTTCTTCTTTTTTGGCTTCTCAAGGAGTTGTTCTTCCTGATTTCTCCACTGTCTGATCATACACTCAGTGGGAGGAGGTCCAAACTGTCTCTCTGCAGCTCTATTTCCATGTTCTTTTGCATAGCTGATTACATTCATTTTGAATTTTGCAGAGTAATACACTGGTATTTAGGTATTTATCTTTTTATTTTTTGACATCTTTAAGGGCTCAGAATGCTCCAGTCCCGGTTGCATCTGCGCATTCTCCACCTCCACCTCCAATTACAGCATCAGCTGGCATCAGTAACAATAAGGCTCGTGATTGGAGGAAGCCTATTTGACAAGGTATGGGCAGCTACACACCCATGGGCTCCCTCCTCGGCTGACTTCCATGTATAAGACACCCCTTGATTTTCAGTCTAATGATTTTAGAAAAAAATAGTGCCTTATACACGGAAAAATACGGTACATTGGCTGTGAAAGGAGAAAAATTGCAGCCACTATGCTCAAAATAAGAATGGACTTTGAGGGCATTAAGCTAAGTGAAGTAAGTCAAACAAAGAAAGACAAATACTGTGACAAATACTGTATGATGCCACTTATATGTGG